GCCTTTGAAACTGTCCATTCACCCCAAGGCCTGAAAGGTGAGAGCAGGTCCACAGTGCCCAAAGGAGAAGCCTGTAAATAACTTTGGTTAGTTTTCTACTTCTGGTCACTATCTGTTTTATGAGACAGCCCCTGATGCTTACAAAAAGACCCCATAAATAACTTTGAGTAACTGTCCCAACTTAATAGGAGGTAACTGCCTCCTGTCACATATTTGTTTTACAACAAGATAAACAAATAGGGTCTGGAGCAAGATAAGGATTCGGGTTAACCAACGCCAACACATACCGAGTGTTAGCAGTCACATCCCCTTGGGAAAGTGGGCACCATCTTTACCTGTCAATCAACATGTAAATTTTTCACCCCCATCCTGACAACTATATAAGTCCTTGGAACAAAGGACCCTCTCTCAGGCCACCCAGCCTCTGACCACCTGGGTGCTTGCCACCCCAGCCTTTGGCCGCCCTTATGTTTGCTACCCTGGTTTGCCCTGAACCTATGCTTTCCGCTCTCCCACATTAGATAGGCCTGATCTCTTCCATGGGAATGGCTCACCAATAGACCCTGCTTGCACACTAATAGATTTGCTGATCTGTAATTCTTTACATGCATTGGCAAGAAGACCCAGGTTCCTCCTGTTAACAAAATGGCCTGGGTTTTGGTCATGGCTTTGTCACTAAATATCTGGCTGAAAGAATTACTTCTGTGATCTTTGATATCCTCATATTTAAGTCTAGAAAACTAGACTGAATGATCCCTCAATTTAGGGTCTATGAGTCCGTGTTTTTTAACTGATTCAAGGCTGCAGAGCTAGACTTTGGGATGACAGGTGTATTATTGTTTATCTTAGTATTCTTTTTATCAGACCCCCTTTATGAGCAGAAAATCAGAGACGGGGGTAACCCAAGTAATTGAAGAAAACAGGGTTAAACATAGGTCATCCTGTAAAGAACGAAAAGTTGGTCTTCAGCCCATTCTTGGTGTTACCTCTTTCACTATCTCTGCAGCCTAGGGTTTCCAGGTTATCGACTCAATCTAAAGTACTCAATCTTATCCTACCTGAAAGGTGCCCAGAGGGACACCCCAGGAAGAAAATAATTCCCTAGGCTCTTCTCCATTCTTATAGTCTCAAGAAAAAAAATAGTTATTCAGTTTTATAGATAAGAATTGGTTTTCTCTTTCCTTAAATCAAAACCCTTGTCCACACTACCAAGCCTTTTCAAATGACCTCACCTGTACAGAACCTTCTCACCCCCATAATACACTTCTGAGGCAGGAGATAGTCAGGAAGGAGGAAACTCCAGAGGTGCCCCAGGGCTAAGATAAAGAACGTGGACAAAGGGCAGAGACTCTGTTCTAAGACTGGTAGTTTCTGCATCTGGAAAAGCATTGAATCCTAGTGGATCAGGAATGCACCTGCGCAGAAGATGCTACCTGACCCCTGCTTCATTATAATAGCATTATAATAAATTAGCATTGTGCGACCCCCTTCCCAATGGCCAATCAAGGAAATCATGGGAAGCCCACCCTAAGGAATAAAAGCCCTCTAGCCCCGGAGTTCGGGGCTGTTATTAGGCTGCTGCGGCTGTTAGGCTCTGCTCTGCTCTTCTCTGCTCCACTCTACTCAGAGCTGGCCTGCTCCCATCTTCTGTGTGGCTTAATAAATCTGCTTTCTCTTGCTTTCTGCTATAAAGTCTTGTGTGTTTGGTTCAATTTTTTGTCCACGATCACCAAGAACCTGGTTACCTGTGCCAACCTGTGACACTTCCTCTGCTTTGTCTGGTCAGTTGATATGATTATGACCTGAATTAAATCAATAATATTATATCTCCTAGGAATATAAAAACCCCAAAGGAGACAAAGAGATAAATACAGTCATTACAAAACAATGATCTAAAATCTATCAGATCCTGAAGTGAAAGCCCATGGGTGTTTCTTTGGTAGCTTCCTTCTAAAATTATGAAGTATTTATTTGGTATGTTTTTTTTGTTGTTGTTACATGTTTGCTTGTTTGATTTCTTTTTCTTACTTATGCAAATTATCCTGGTATTTTTATAATGAATCTCCTTCTATGTTTAAATTAGTTCCAGTTGATTTTGGTTGTGACTCAAATAATCTAAATTGACTCAAGATGGGTTGCTTCCTTTAAAGCCTTATAAAATGTCACCTTGCTTTGACTAATTCTTGAAGTCTCTTAACACATCTTATCCCACTTCTTGAACTCGTCACCAATTAACATATGTATTTTATTTATTTCCATTCTCTAATTATTGTTTTATCCTTTATAAATATAAGTTCCGTGGAGGCAAATGTTTTAGTTTTTCATTTCCAATACTCTGTCTCCTGGGCCTAGATCAGTTCCTGGCATATACATACATATATACGTCACTTAGTGAATATTTGTCGGGTACATAAACATTTTTGGGACTAAAGTGCTGGGGTACTGTTTATTTCTGTTACTCAGGAATGCGAGTCTCCTAATTAGCTCTCCGGTCCCCATGCCTTCTCCCTCCCTTCTCCTCCCCTCTCCTGCTCTTCTCTCTCCTTTTCCCTCTCCCTCTCCCTCCCCCACCTCATTACCATTCTGTCTCTGGTTCCCACTTTTCTACAAGGCCACTTTTGCCTGTTAGTTTTACTTTATACTAGTTGACAGGTTTGTAGAATGATAAAATTTTCCCTGCCAGACATATGCTTAGGGCTCACCAATCTCACCTTTCTGATAATATAAAATAGGCACATTAAGATTTGGGTGTGGGCTTGTGGAAAACTCAGGCTGCCTTCTGGATTGTTGACCTCTGATATCAGACTCTAGGAAAAAGGGTGGGCCAAAGTTGTCACAGTTTCATGGGGCTGGGTTTTTTTCAAAGAAACTTGTATTTGGCCCAAGCTGGTGTGGCTCAGTGGATAGAGTGCCAGCCTGCAAACCCAAGTGTTGCTGGTTCAATTCCCAGTCAAGGCACATGCCTGGATTGCAGGCCAGGTATCCAATAGGGGGCACTCTAGAGGCAACCAAACATCTATGTTTCTCTCCCTCACTTTCTCCCTCCCTTCTCCTCTCTCTAAAAATAAGTAAATAAAATCTTAAAAAAAAAAGAAATTTGTATTTGTGTGGCCTTGATGTCTGTGCATTTATTCCCTAGTGCTTGGGGTGGAAAAGAGGAATAAAATGTAAGGCAGGGAAGGATAGAGACATGATGAGTCCTTGGTCCTCACCAGCACTCAGGCTCTTTTTGTCCTTGAATATGGAAAAATGAAAAGTCAGGTGAAAAACCAAATGTCAACTAATTACAATAAACAAATAATTTGATGGGGGCCAGATTCCTTGTTCCACATGTAATCCATCAGGTTTTCTGACATTATTTTTTTAAAATATGCTAGAAAATTTCACCCAAAGAAATAAAATACATTCATTATTAGTATAAATTAAATGCATACAAATTTTAGAAGATGACACAAATCTTTTTTCTTTTGCTTTTGGATAATCCTCTGTAATTTTTTTCCCTCTTTTTACAGGAATCACAATAAGATCAATAAGTTGTGACATTTAAGCCAGTTTACCAGCATATGTGTCTCTTTCCTGGAAGCTGGACTATAACCAAAGAGGAGAAAAACGTAACAACTGCAAAATCATTTTACAAAAACTTGTTTTTCAGAGATTAGCTTGGCTTGCTTTTTATATTTTTGATGAGGGAGTAAAGAAAACTGTGATTAGGTAAGAGACATATGAGAAATATGTGTAAACATTACCAAGGGCCCATAGTTTCTTACAAGTCCTTTCTGATCTGAGACTGTATTTCTTATCATTAGTTTATTTCTTCTAAGCTGAGATCTGATTACTTAGCACCACCTCCCTATTCTCCACCCAGCCTTTTCCCCCACTCCCCATGGAGCTGATCATTGAGGAATCTTTTTAGAAGGGAAAAAAATACCACAAAAGTATACCATAATTTCTATGAACAGCATGTGTAGTTGCAATGGAGTGTAGAGCGAGGGTCCCCTGAAAATAAGAGAAAATCCCCACAACCCTTGGTTGAGGGAAGGGGTAGTGGATGAAACTTAAGATACTTTGATAACAATGGCAAGTTAATAGCCATGCTTTTCTTGAAGCCTAGAGGACTGCCGCCCAGGGCCAAAGGTGTACGTGTGCCTCTGAGAGCATTCAGGGACTCGTGACATAGCTAGGGGAGCTTACACAGTGCCTGTGTGGAAGACAGGGGGCGGATATCCGATTCAGAAGTCACTAGGAACTCTTGCCCTGACTAAAGATGGCAGCGGAAAGAAGGTAAAATATGCAGGGGAACTGGCAAAAATGGAACATCATAGGAGGGGCCTGATATGAGGTCACATAGGAAGTTCCAGGCCAACCGTTTAAATGAGGGTGGGCTAAAAGTGAGAAAGAAGAAGCCACATGGTCTGAGAGGGTGTAGGAGAGAGTCCACCATGAAGAGGTCTGGTATGTAAGGGAGAAGTCACGTGGTCTGTAGTGAGAGAGAAGCTACTTCTGCTTCTCTGAAGAATATGTGGAGAAGCCATTCTCTTGGGACATGTGCCTCCCTGGACTCCACCATGATCCACCATAACACGGCACATGTTTTCCTGAACCACTGCATGGAGGCTGAGAACAGCGCACTTCACATCCTGAAGGAGAGAGCTGCTGTGAGAGGATGGCGACTCTGAAACCCAAGAGTGTGCCTTCCAGAGGAGATGGAGACCTGTTTGTTGGACCGGCTTAAGAACAGATAGTAATATGGGGACCTTCTGGGCATAGTTTTGTCTTATAGCCTTTTGGAGAGCCAGGGGCGTGCTGGTTCTCACAGGAGAGGAGGGCTCTCTGCAGAATGCTCTCCAGTCCCCCAAGGTTAGAACCTTGTTAATAAAAGCCCATTTCCTTAAACACTAATTGTTGGATGATGTGTCAAGACACCATGTGGCTGAGCCCTAGTTTTCTCAGATACAAAATAATCTACTGAAGTTGTAAAACGTGATGTACTTTAATTTTTATTATATAGAATTAAACTGGTACATACTGGCTTCGTACCTCCCGGACAGCTCCCCGAGGTCCTGCAAGTGCTGCTGCAGCTCGTCCTCCTCCTCTTCTTCCTCCTCCTCTCGGTCTTGATCACGATCCCCTCTGCGCAGCTCCTCTGCTGCATCAGCATCTGCTTGAGGTCGCTGAACTCGCCGGAGCCCTCCGCCGACTCCTCCAGCGCGTGTTCCGGCTCCGGCATGTCCAGGTCGGGCTGCTCCCCACATGGGTCCCCCAGCTCTGAGTCCTGGAAGCCGTGTTCTTCCACCTGTCCCATCAGGGGCTCCGGCGTCTCCAAGCTCTCGGAGCCCTCGTCGTTGGTCTGCACCTCGATCTTAATCACGATGCCGTCGTGGGCGGCCCTGGGGTCTGCGGGCGGCTCGCCCTCCTCCGAGTCTTCCTGCTCCTGCATGGTCGGCCTCTCCCCGCGCTCCATCTGTGACATGAGGTCTGGCTTGGAAATTGCATAGTCCATGGAGACCAGAGACTCGTAGTTGCCCCTCATCACATTCTTGTACAGCTCCTTCTGCCTCTCAGACAGGTTCCCCCACTCCTGCTCCGAGAAATGGACAGCGACGTCATCGAAGGTGACGGGGACCTTGGGGACTTCTCCATTGCTGCCCCGGGGGCAGCCGCAGGATCCAGAAATTTCTGTTTTTCAGCAGGTTCTCCATGTTCTCCGGGCGCCTCTGCAGCAGCCCGTACTCCTGCAGCAGCGTCCCCAGCACGACCCACTTGCTCTCCAGGTGGTTCGCGAACTCCACGGCCGTCTTCTCGCAGTCGGCTATCTTTTTCTCATTTGTCCCCGTCCGCCCCTCCAGCGTCAGCAGCCGCATGGCCTGGGCCTCCAGTTTCCTCTCCGCCTCTTGGACGGCAGCCCACACGGCCAAGCGGGTGATCTCCGCCGTCGGGAGTGGCGTGTCCTTCTGGGCTGCAGAAGAGATGGGGAAGGGGGTCTCCTTTTGGGAAACTGGGCTCTGGAGCAGGGGGTCCATGTCGGCCTCGGGAACTGTGGGGGAGAGGGTGAGGGGGTCTTTCTCGGGAACTTCAGGGGAGTGGAGTGGGGCTTCTTGGTGGTGGGTGGAGTGAGAGAGCAGTGAGATTTCTTGTTGAGCAGCAGCTGGCGCTGGATACGGGGTCTCTTCCTGAGAAGCCAAGGGGCCCTGGAGCTGCGTCTCTTGCTCAGAGGCGGCAGGGTACAGGAGTGAGGATCCCTTCTGGAGGGTTCCTCCAATATTATATAGACTGTAGATTTTTAATCAAGATGGACATTTTGACAGGGATAAATGTTGAACATCATCTTATGAAAGAACATACCACAGCCAAGAAATTTGAGTCCTTGTCACCGGATCACACAAAATGTTGAAGAAGAAAGAGAAGTTTATATTTGATAACAAACTCCTGAGATGCTCAACATAAGCTCTCTAGCTCCCCCCAACTCTTATTTCATGCCCTAGAGAAACTTTACTTGGCTAAATGCAGATTAACCAAATAGAATATCTGATGAGGTGTCCATCTACAATAATTCTAATAATGCCCATTTTAGACCAAGGCTTACCACTCACTACACTTAATACATCACACTTTTCCACACTCATATCCAAATGCTTTAGGGGGGATATAAATGCTACTTTCTTAGTAAAGTCATCGTCTCCTATTATGAAATCAAATTATTCCCTTTCTCTGAATTTCTCTTCCCTCTGTCCCTCTCTTCCTCTCCTTTCTCCCTCTATTTCTTTCTTCTTTCTTTTCTTCACCTGACCCTTATGACATTCACCACCATCACATGCCATATGCTCAATTTCATATTGTGTTAAGCTTCCTTATATACTCTTAACCACCCATTTAGAATATGAGTTCTATGGAAGAAATATTCATCTCCATTTCTTCAAATAATTACTGAGGATAACACTTTGCCAAAAAGTGCAGTGAGCTTGAGGGACACAAAGTGGTTTCCCACCTGTATTTGGAACCTGACAAATATGTCAAAGCATCTGCTGTGCTAGACCAGTTTGGAAAAGGGTGAAGTTTTCTTTCTCTACATTCAGGGAATAAACTCATGATAATAAAGGAAAAGAAAAAAAGTTATCAGTAAAGACCAATTAATAGTAGTTTAAAGGATGTTTTTAAGTTCCAGAGAGATAGACACAATGTCCAGCAATAGGGATCCTGTGGGCACAGAGCTGACAGGTCTACAGCACACCCCACCCAACCCAGAGGGCTTTTAAAATACACTATGATAGGTTCCATCTGGAGAAAATGGAAAGAAAATGATGCAGGGATTTTTTGTCACACTGCTCACAATGATATAGGAGCCAACTGGCACAATGTAAACTTAAAGTTTCTCTATTTTTCTCTCCCTTCACAGAGGCTATGGAAAGTTCTAAATTCTAAAAGACAAAAAGGCTATATTTCAGAGGTGACAGTGAAATTCTATGCTTTTCTCTCCACTTTAATCTTAAGTAACTCCTTCATGACAGATCATAATATAGCTAAAAAAAAAATGTCAGCTTTGTATATTTGTGCTCTCCCAGCGAGTACAAGGGAAAAAATAATTTGAGATCAGGACTCACAATTTAATTTAAAAAAATACAGAGCAAACGATACATAATACACAGTGTTATGCTTGGAAGATATGAATCAGCATCACTTTGGAGTCACAATAAAAATACAGATTCCTAGGCTCCATGTCAAAATCCCTGAAATTAGGTCTTAGAAACACAAAATTTTGACAAGATCCTTGGATGATTCTGTTTTAAGAAGCCCTTAAGTAAGGTTAGTGAAAGGATATGGAAAGATTCTAGAAGGAATCTTTATTTTAAAATGTTCTTTTAAAAAACCTTTTTTGGATTATTTATTAGAAACATTATTTTTAAAATTTGAATTTAAATCATCATACTTGTAAGAATTTAGTTGAGTAAATTCTTATTTTGGGACACTTTCCTTAATACTCATACAGTAAATACAAAAGTAGGCTTACAGTTGTATATATGGAAAATAATACAATAATTGATTAATAATAATACAAGAATAAGCAGTTTGTCATACAACTATAAGCCTAATTTTGTCCTATGCTGTATGTTAAAAGCAAGGTAGTTAATTGACTATTAAAGGACTTAAAAAACCAAAGAATTCACATATTCTTGCATAAAGTTTATGAATTTGAGCTAAAATCCTAGAAATGAATGTAGGAAATGAGTTACCAACTTAGAAAGCCAACAGGTTGGAGGTTTTCTGAGCAGCTGAAAATTATTTTAACAGAGAAAATATTGTCCTTTGGCTAAAAATATTTGGAATTAAGTTGTTTGGCTTGGGAGAAATTGGTAAAATGTATGGTGGAATATGTGGCCAACTCTTTTTAGATTTCTAATATTTCAAATAAAAACTACAATTCTCTACCCAAGGGGGGAGAAATGTTTAGTGGCAGGTATGCCTGGCCAAGTCACTTTATGTTCCAATAGCTTTGCTTTGCTTTACAAGAATTCTTTTCTATAAAATGTGTATGATTGTTCAATTTTCCCCTTCAGTTTTTTTTCTCCCTAACAATTCTCTTTACCCTAATTCCAAGCAGATGTAAGAATAACTTTGACTATAATTGAAAATATACAAAGGTGAAAATAATAACCGTATCATTTTGGATACAGATCTCTTTATAAACACAATGCTTGAGCTCACTTCAAAATTTCAGATAAATGTAAAGAAATTATTTTATAGTTTGGGGAGGCAAGGAGAAAGATATTTTGAAAACCCAATTTCTATCAGTCCTGTTTTTAAGGTGTTAAGTATGATTTCATTGTGCTGAGACTACTTCAAAAGGCTTCAGGCAGTCATTTGATACTGTGCTATCTCAAGTGGCCCAGTTGATCACGTTTCCCCAGGCACAGTTGGAAAGTGTAAGCTTTTATAAAATTTGAATTTGATATTAGTGTTTCTCTTCTGGTTCAGTGAGGTAAACATATCTTTAGCAACAACAATCTCTCATTCTTCATCTCCTCCTTTTGCTTCTTTGTCTTCTTCTTCCTCCCCTTCTCCTCCCCCTCCTTTTTCTTCTGTCTTCTTCCTTCTTATCTCTCTCTCTCTCTCTCTCTCTCACAGAGTGTGATATGTTAGGGATCCTTCTTTTTAAGTATATGTTTTGCGTATGTTATTACAGTTGTCCCATTATTTTTCTCCCGTTTATCTCCCTCTGCCTAGCACCACCTCCCTCCAGCATGCCTCCTACTTAGTTCATGTCCATGGGTCATACATATAAGTTCTTTGGCTCCTTCCTTTCCTATAATACTCTTAACCTCCCCCTATTTTGTGCCTATCAGTTATGCTTCTTATTCCTTGTGTCTTTTCTCCCCATTCTCCCCCACCCCACCACTAATAACACTCCATGTGATCTCCATTTCTGTGATTCTGTTTCTGGGTTAGTTGTTTGCTTAGTTTGTTTTTGCTTTTGTTTAGATTTTTTTATGTTCAGTTGTTTGTAGTCATGAGTTTGTTGTCATTTTATTATTCATAGTTTTGATCTTTTTTGTAAATAAGTCCCTTTAACATTTCATATAATAAGGGCTTGGTGATGATGAACTCCTTTAACTTTATCTAGGAAGCTCTTTATCTGTCCTTCCATTCTAAATGATACCTTTGCTGGATAGAGTAAACTTGGATATAGGTCCTTGTTTTTCATGACTTTGAATACTTCTTTCCAGCCCCTTCTTGCCTGTAAGGTTTCTTTTGGGGAATCAGCTGATAGTTTTATGGGAATTCCTTTGTAGGTAACTGTCTGCTTTTTTCTTGCTACTTTTAAGATCCTCTTCTTATCTTTAACCTTGGGTAATTTAATTATGATGTGTTATGATGTGTTCCTCCTTAGATCCAACTTCTTTGGGACTCAGCTCCATGGACTTGCATGTCTAGTTCCTTCGCCAGATAGGGAAGTTCTCCTTCATTATTTTGTCAAATAAGTTTTCAATTTCTTGTTCTTCCTCTTCTCATTCTGGCACCCCTATGATTCGGGTGTTGTTGAAATGTTTAAAGTTGTCCCAGAGGTTCCTAAGTCTCTCCTCATTTCTTTGAATTCTTGTTTCTTCATTCTGTTCTGGTTGAATGTTTATTTCTTCTTTTTGTTCATAATCATTGATTTGAATCCTAGTTTCCTTCCCTTCATTGTTGGTTCCCTGTATATTTTTCTTTATTTCACTTTGGATAGACTTCATTTCTTCCTTTATTTTGTGGCCGTACTCAATCATTTCTGTAGCATCCTGATTACATGTTTTGAACTCTGCATCTGATAGGTTGGCTATCTCCTTGTTGCCTAGTTCTTTTTCTGGAGTTTTGATCTGTTCTTTCATTTGGACCATATTTCTTTGTCTTGGCCCACCAGTCTGGGTAAATATTTCTTCTTTAACTCCTCGGTTGTCGGACTTCCATGCAGTTAGGTTTTCTGGCAGTTCTGGTTGTTTTTTTGTTTTTAAATTGGTTTTTATCCTTCTTTTGGTTGGTGTAAGAAAGTAAAGTATATCTACTTACACTTTCTTCTTGGCTGGAAGCCCTGATATGTTAAGGATTCTACCAATAAGATCTTTAGAATCCATATGCACAATTAAAATAATGTAGTAGATATCATTTCATGGGATCTTTATAGTATAAAAGTCAACTATGAGAAAGCACAATGATTGAAATTGGATTTGGGGGAAAGTTTTGATTGTGTAATGTTTCCGTTACAAAATATAAGAGTTGGTACCAAAATTTAAATAAATTAAAATTCTGTTTTTTACTTGACACTGAATTACATAGGTTCTTTTACCTGTTCTTTTTTTCTTTTGTTCATTTAATCACTATTTCAGTTATATTTTCACCAGGGGAGGAAAAAAACCTAAATTATATTATGCATAACATTGTGAAAACCAGTTTAATTCTAAGAGCTACAAACTAGTGAGGAGATTTTTTAATGCAAAAAAAGTTGATAACTTTTCCTTCATATTACTAGCAAGTGTCTTTTTTAAAAAACTGGACCAAATACAAAAGGCACCAGATTGGGGCTTTCCCAATACCTTTGCAACCACTTTAGTTCTGCTTCCTTAATTTAGCAGACAGAAAGGTTAACCATCTTACCATCAACGCAGTGTGTTTCTTCAGATTAAATAAATGGAATTCACAGTGGTTTCTGGAATCTCCATTACTCTACACTGGCACCAAACATAAAATAACAAACATTTTATTTGGCTTTATTTAAGAATTACGCACCACAGAAGTAGGTTTGTGTTACAGTTCTTTATCACTTTAGCTTTTGGGCCATACTATAAAAATAACATTTTTAAAATTTATAGTTTCTTAGATTACTACCTTTTTAATGCCTCAATTAGGAATGGTATCCTTTTAATAGGAAGAGAAATAGCTTCTTATCCAAAATTATGAATATGGAAACTATGGATGTAGACTCTAGCCAGGAACATGAATAACTATTCCAACAAGAAAAATGGAAAGAACATTGTTATACAACATCTTAGCTGTTTTTCAAAGAATATCTCCTAAGGAAAAAGTCAGTTTTTTCAATGAGAAGTATTAGGCAAGATATATACAGTGCAAGATTAAATCATAAAAACGATCATTACTAGAGGGAAATGGAGGTGGGGGGAGGTAGGAGAGGGTAAAGAGGGGAGAAAATTGTGATAGAAAAAGACATGATTTGGGGTGATGAACACACAATACAATATACAAATGGTGCATTATAGAATTGTACATTTTAAACCTAAATTTATTAACTGATTGTTACTCCAATAAATTAAATATATATAAATAAGTAAATTGTTGATTAAAAATGAAACAATGAGATAAGATGAATAACATTCATGTGAATTAAAAATTCATTTATACAAACATACATTTTACAAGAAAAAATACAAATAAGAAAGTGCACATTAATTATATTAAAAGTGCTGTGCATGAGGAGAGACATAGAAAGGTGAATAGTAAAAAAATGCAAAATATCAAATAAACATAACAGAGGCCTTTACGGAAATGAACACAATCATGTGCATTTGAAGTCTAACTAAATAAGCAAACAGTATGCCAGTTTCCTACCTCAATTAAGACATATTTGACATTTCATGATCCAGCTTTGCCCTTCAATTCCATGTAGACCTTTTTCTCCTAACATTCTGACTCTTTTATTCCTTTTGATAGCAGTGATATTAAAAGCAAAACTTCGATGATTGCCTTCATTCTATGTGTTTTAAATGTTGAATTATACTTCATTGTCAAAACAACCAAGAAAGTAAGTGTCTTCATTGCCCCTGTTTTACCATGCCAATTAGGTGAATCACCCACAGTCCCTGCTAGGCAGGCATTTGACTCTGGGCCCGGCCTACCCATTCCAATCCAGATCCCAAGGAAATCCTGTGGATAGGTGATATTAGTGTTAAGCAATTACTTACATATTATCGCTAGCTATTTTTTTAAGAGCAAAATCACTTTACCCTCCAATGAGGAAAGTACTAAGTAATGTTTTTATTAACTCTTTTGCTCTGATACATTTTAAATTTTGAGGGAAATATAAAAATTATCTAATCAGGAGTAATTTTTATTCTAAAAATCTTAAGACATAGAAGAATTTAGCAAAATAAGAAAAAAATAAAAGAAAAACCTATTTGTAGGGAAGTAATTAATTGGAATATCCAACCGCGGAGAGTAGTTATAATCAGTGGAACTGAAAATTTCTGTTGTAATTAAGGATAAATATAATTATTAATAATATTAGATTATTTTTTGTAACCAATTCTCATGACAGAAAAAAAAGTTAAGAATTAGATGCTTAAAATTAAAGAACACAGGTAGCTTAAAATTATTTTGTTAGGGAGTTAAAGGTTGAATAAAAAGGCTATGAGAGCAATAATCCAAATTTAATTCCTCTTCCTCATCACATAAGCATCTATTAAGCACCTCTAGTATGCCAGCACAATGCTGGTCAATTTATAAAGCAAAAAAGCAGAAAAAAATTGCCTGGCATCAGGTGCTTGCAGCCTAGAAGACTAGGATTGAAACAACCACAAACTCTTTGAGTTGGAATTAGTTAAGTCTACATTAGGTACAGTAATTTTTAATGAGTACATACTCATTCTATAGGTGGGGAACAGGAAATACTGAAAGTCATCATAGAGGACAAAGTGCTTTATTTGAGTGCGTATTCTACGGATGGGCAGGTGGTAAGAGGATTTCTGGTAGAGGAAGCATTATGAGCAAGGTTTGGAGTGATGCTATAACAGTGAATTCAGAAAACTGCAAAAATCCAGGTAAGAGAATCCTGATCATGCAGTAAGCAAAAGACAAATCATGAAGAAATCTCCTGTGCAAATAAATAAATAAATAAATCCAATTTCATTTTTTTATGAAGTGATTACATATTCCTCGCTAAAAGGAAGTCTGTTCCAACTCCATTTTTCTTCATGAAGGGAACTGCCCTTGACTGTAATCTTAGTGAGGCCTAATAGCCACTAGGTATCTCTTCCTTCCATACCCTTAAAGTCCGATGGGGCTTGTGGCACTCTTAGCCAAGCAGATGCTTGCTCCTGGCTTAGAATTTGTTGGTAATGGTTTCCAGTGAGGGCCTCCAGGAAGAGCTGTCAATATTGGCAGTGGCTACATGGCCAGACTATTTTCTAAAAGTCCCCTTGTTTTCTGCTTGTTTTCCAAATCCAGTCTTTCCGCTTCCTCTTTTATATGACTTGACTTCTCATCTTCAAAGAAATTCTGTGTTGGTTGAAGCACTTAGAGTTGTTATCTGGTGTTCATAGCCTAGGAACCTTGTTTGATAAAGATATCGATACCAGAAATTCATTATGACAGCAGGGTTTTGGGAAATGTGGGGAAAACAAGATTGGTTATCGGTATACTTCAGGTAAAAGGTAGTCAAAATTCTGAAATTATGCAGAGAAGGGAATCTGGAAGATGGTGACCCACAAAAATAGGACAAATCTGTAGCTACCTAAAATGCCGCATCTCCTGAGGGTAAGGCTTTGAGAGACATATAGCCATTGTCATAGAAAATTATAAAAGACATGAAACAGGATTGAAGGGCAGGGTGGCTGCAACTAAAAGCCCATGGAGTAGCTGGAAATGAGATAATGGCAAGTTCAATTCCCTAAATTTTCAGCTTATGTTTAGGGCTTGAAATATAGGGACTCGATAAAATTATCTTTAAAAGGTGAAGTTCTCATTTCCTTCCATTGCAGGATGAGAGAGCAAAACATACACACACAGACACACACACACACACACACACACACACACAGAGACACACACACACTCTTACTAGTAATTAATACACTATTAATCTCATCTCTATAAAAAGTTAGAGAATTGATCTGAAAGAATTAGTGGGAATGCCTATTCAATCTCAACCTCACAGAACCTGTGTTGCTGGCTGAGAAAGCTCCACTTTCCTTTACTTGTAAAGCAATTCTTACTTGTTTGAAGATGTTGTTACTCCTTCAACTCAAGGCATTAACTTTAAAAGGAGCTTCATTCTTTTCATGCCCATACCCCTCAGTCTTCAATGATTCCCAGCCTATAAAAGAGGTAAAAATAAGGTATCAATTACAAGGTCTGTCACAAATAATGCCCTTTAAAATTACACAGATCTTTTATTAAAAATCATAAGCATGTAAATCTGTAACACTATCACACTCAAGCACACTATATAACATTTTAGGTGAAATGTTCAAATTGCTGTCCATCTCGTGTGAGACATTCATGTACCCTACCAAACAAGCCTTATTTCTGCAGGACCCTGTAGAAAGTAGAACCTAGGGATGGAAATATACTCTAAAGGAAATACAGGCATTTTCTAACTTATATGAGTTAAATATTCAGAAAGATAATTCCTGAAGGTACTCAACCAAGGAAGGAGAATGACAGTATTAGATCAGCCTGAATTTCATTTTTTGAGTACAACTTCCAGAGATTCTGGATTCATTGAATGAGTTTAAGCAACTAGGCGTCTGCCTGAGAGTTTTCTGGAACACATCACATAACGGAACTCGGAAGTATATGTACATTAAATTAAAAGGATCCCCTAGCACATTGTAAAGGCATACAATGAAAATTTCACACAATGAAATTCCATAGTGGATTTATCATGTATAATCCACCCATCCACCTTTACAAAGAATTGGGACATATGTTGGAGAAAGGAGTATCAGTATCTTTTTAAAATTTTTAGTAATATTTGTGGGTTGTTAGTGGAAGGTCTAGTGATGAACATTGACTACTTGATTAAATGAGAAACAACAAATCCAGAATGCAAGAGATCTAGTGTCTTTTAAATACTAATGAGCCCTGGCTGGCGAGGCTCAGCGGATTGTGTGCCTGCCTGCAAAATGAACAGTCTGCAGTTCAATGCCTGGGTTGTGGGCCAGGTTCCCAGCTGGGGGCGTGTGAGAGGCAACCACCTATGGATGTATCTCTCGCACATTGATGTTTCTCTCCCTCTCTTTCTTCCTCTTTTCCCTTCTCTCTAAATATAAATAAATAAAATCTTTTAAAAAATTAAAAATTAAAAAAAATGAATACTAATGAATAAAATAGATATATTTCC